AGGGTCTTGTGAAATGTGAGCAGGACCCGTTTCACTTTTAAACTTTAAGGAGCAAATGGCTCGTGTTTTATATTTCTGTTTTATTCTGAGGTGATTTGCTTTATATTTTATGTAAAAATAAATGTTTTGTGTTAATAATTTTCTTTGTTTTTAGTTTTTTATTATTAGTTTTGTGTGTTTTATGTTTGTTTTCTGTTGTTCGTGCTTTGGTTTATGCTTTTTGTTTTGTTCTGAAGTGATTTGATTTATATTTCATGTAAAAATAAACGTTTTGTTTTAATAATTTTTTGTATTAAGTTTTTGTTTTTAGCTATTTGTTTTATGTGCGTTTTAGTTGTTTGTGCTTTGTTTTATTCTTTTTGTTTGATTGTTTTTTATGTATCTTCCTTTTTATATTATTTGTTGGTTTAGTGTTTGTGTGTTTTATGCTTTTTGTTTAGTTGTTTGACTTATATACATTGTTTTGTTTTTGTGTTGTTTTTTGTGCCTTGTTTTATGCATTTTATTTTGTTGTATTATTAGTTTTATTTATTTTTTTGTTTTTTACATATTTTGTGTTTTGTTCATTTTTGTTTTGTTTTTTATCTATTGTTTTGAGGTTTTATTTTTTTATTAATAATATATATTTTTTAATTTAATTTATTTTTAATTTGTTTTATGCATTTTGTTACTTGTTTATTTTTTGTTTTGTGTGCTGTTTTTTCTTTTTGTTATAAGTAGAAGTTTGTTTATTTATTAACTAATTTCCAGACAATCACAAGCTTATGACCACGCCTGGTCCCACATTAGCTTTTATACACTGTAAAACCCAGCAGTCAAATGAGTGTAGTTAACTCAAAATTGACAAAGTTAATTCTACTCATTTAAAAAGAGTTTTGAACTCTGTGTTGAAGCTAATAAGTGAATTAAATGCCTCATTACTTCAACTTAAATGGAGTAAGTTCACAGTACTCATAAAGATTAGTTTAACTCAAATGGTTTGTAGCAATCAGTTTCCTCGAACGGTTTTAGTTACCTTAACTTATTGGGTTTTATAGTATAGTTAATTAGAGTTCTCTTCATTTATTGGATTTTATTGTGCTCAAATTGCTTCGTTCACTTAAATGGATTAAGTTCACAGTACTTATTAGGATTCGTTTTTGAACTTAAATAGTTTTTTGCAATCGGTTTCCTCAAATGGTTTGAATTACCCTAACTTAATGGATTTTACAGTGTATGACCATATGATTTACCAATCAGAGGAATCCAAACGCACATAAATAACCAGATTTTCTTACCTTAGTCATCTTCGCCTTAAAGAATCCCCCATCCACTCCTTCTCCTCCCTCTCTTTCCAAGATTAATTCAGGACAGGCTGCCATAGTGGTTCAGTGGTTGGCACTGTTGCCTCCGAACAAAAAGGTCGCTGGTTCAAGTACTGGCTGGGCCAGTTAGCGTTTCTCTGTGGAGTTTACATGTTCTCCCTCTGCCATCCCTGGGTACTCTGGTTTCCTCCCACAGTCCAAAGACATGTGGTATAGGTGAATTTGAATTAACCAAATTGGCACAGTATGTAAGCGTTTTAGTACAGGGCATTCACCACTTAGCCCTATGCTGGTATAGTTGGTGGTTCATTCCGCCGTGGCATCCTCTAATAATCAAGAAATAAGCA